TCATCGGGTCTGACATCGTGTAACATCGCGTCTCCAAATTCTCCTCCGCTGGGAAGAATCTGAAGAGTATCAGGGAAAGAGAGTGAAATGGAGCAGATGATGTGTAGGTGTGGTGGATGTGAAATGTTCTCGGTCATTCTGAGCTCCACCGTTGGTTCTTGTCATCAGTGTTTGTTTGGTTTTCGTTGGTTTGTTTTGACCGATCAGCGTGAGCAGATATATTCTAATAAACCGTGTATTTTTTTTTTTAGATTTGTAATCAGCGCTGTTGTGCTCAGTTAGCATTAATAATATTTGTCTCAATAAATTAAACATGCGTTTCACCAGAGACGGAAAGTTTCTTCTTTTTCACCCCCCAAAGTTAAATTTAAATTCCACTGCATCCTAATGAGTGGACATTATTTGAGGAGCTGCTGCATTATTCAGGGAGCCAGCAGAGGAGGAGGGGAGCGTGGCGACGTGGTGGACCCTCTTCCTGTCCGTCTTCATCCACTCGTTTTCAGCCGGTGAACCAAGTTGTGTTTCTGCTGCAGAAACAAGCGCCCCTCCTCCTCTCCTGTTTTGTGGTTTTCAGTCTGATGGAGGGAGAGTTCAGGACGGTTCAGTGATTTTCTGTCTGTCCAGATGATTGCTGAGCGTCTGCTGTCCTATTAAAGCTTGTCAGGGAGGTATTAGAGGTTTTCTTCTGGCATGTCGGCGCTCTACGGACTGAAACGCAGTTCGTAGATTCTACGATGTTTCTGTATCCAATTGGGCCGTGCTAAGTGAGTTGGTGGCTTCAATCTTTGGAGCTTTGAAAGGACTAGAAGTTTTACCAACTGCGATAATCTTAAAAGTCCATTACGCTCTGCGTGCCCCACAGGAAGCCACACCTCTGCTCAGATTAGGCCGAGCACCGAACTGACAGCCGTACAAGAGATGTCAAACACGTCTTAGAACACGCGGAGCCGACTGCGCGGAGCCGAGTTGTTCTTCTCGCGGACTGACAGCGCTGAGTCAGCATATATCAGAGGGTTCTAGCTGTCAGTGTCGATCCTCGTCTCCATCCCAGAGCCTCTCCTCTCGCTTCCATACGCTGCACTCTCCTTGCTGTACATCTCCTCCACTGACTCAAGGCCACTCTCCCTCTGACTCACTCGCCCTCTCCATCTCTTCACGCCTCCCTCCATTTCTAATCATCTCCTCCCTCCTCGGTGCAGCTCGCATGAGGCCCGCCGTTGAGGTCCAATAGCACCAATACAAAGTCTAGACAACGCTGCACATGCTGAGGCTGTCAAAACTCCACACACACACACACAAACCGGCTGGCTTTATCCCGCCTGAACGCCTTCACATCTTCCCAGAGTAACTTCATACACAGGTATCGACGTCCTCGGAGCGGCTTCCTCTGCCGTTTTAGTAATTGAATCATTTGATCTTGAATGGGCTTTGTGTAGACAAAGAGCACGAGTGAAGAAAGAGTGCCTCGGCTCCTCCTGGCACTCAGGAGTCTCCGGGGTCTTTGAAGTGCCGCTCTGGCCTCGACACGCCGCCGACAGGAGGACGCTGTTCGGAAAAGGCCAGGCCACCTGCCTCGTCCGGGAGGGACAGGACGGGAGCCACGGAGGCGAATCGAGGCCGTTCTCGGAGTCGTGTGGAAAAAGCGGATTCAGACGTTGACAGGAAAAAGGAAGCTGGGGATGATGTATTATAGGAGAGGTGAACAAATAAAGGAGATGACTCCATGAATGATGCATGGCTTCCTCTCTTCATTATACTCTTCCGGGCGATTTGATTATGCAGGTAAACATGGAAGGCTGTATAAGTGAGAGATGAAATGGGATAGAGAGTGAGTGTGGGGATAAGAGGAGGGGAAGTTGGTGTGTTGTTTTATGTTTGAGAATAGATTGGATTGCTTGGTAAGAGGGCAAGAGAGGAGTGTCTGAGTGTGTGTGTGCACGCCGATAAGCAGGAGAGAGGGAGGGGAGGTTAAGCCGAACTGCAGAAGTCTGAAACCGCGAGAGGCTCAGAAGGAGGTTTTATACACTGAAAAGTTGATAGCAGTTTTGAAATGCCACTACTCTCACTGCTGCTGCTGCTGTCAGCATGTTTATACTTCACCATCTTGCCCTCATTCAGACGGAAATGAAAGGGCTTTTATTATCCTGATAAAGGGCAGCCTCCCCTGGCTCTCCAGACTCATTCTGCCAGCTGCCAGTGGCCACAGCGACTCAGGTCGGATGTTGTTGTGAAGTAAAGAGGAGTGTGGAGGGATCTGTGGATCGCTGCTCTAGTGTGCCAGCCTGTCTGTCTCCAGCGTCCATGTCGTAGTTTGTGACAACAGGCACAAGTCTGCCCAGAGAGGCGATATTTGTCATGTCATATGTGTGTGTGAGAGAGCTGAGAAGTATGTGTGTGTTGTGTGTTGTGGTGTGTGTGTGTGTGTGTCTTCTCTCCCGGCTCTCGTGTCTGTTGTCAGTTGTGGGCGATGTGTCTTTTGTGGTTCTCCGTAATAAAGCCATTAATCACGTTCGCTGTTTGCCACAAACATGCCACGCTGCACTCGCTGCTAGACGTCTCACTCTGTCCGTCCCACGATGCAGCAGCAGGATCAGGGCGCTGGAGTGGAAGGGAGGCGCTGCAGCCTGTTGACGTGTGTGTGTGTGTGTGTGTGTGTGTGTGTGTGTGTGTGTGTGAGCACATACATGTATGTACATGCATCATGTGAAATTAATATAAGCTGACTTGAGCCATAATGGTTTCGTATCAGCATATTTCTCATACCTGCTGCACACGGTGAAGTGACTTGTTCAGTGTGGCTCATGTGTCGTTGATCACTGGAGGGTTTTTTTCCCCACTATTTTCTGACTTTTTTGTTTTTCTAAAGATGATCTTTTGGTTCATTCTGTTCACAATATGGATATGTGCTAAACTATTAAACATTGCTAACCTCGCTAGTTGCCACTCAAAATACTAGTCAGATGAACTAATTAATAATTAAATGATTAATTTGATTAATATGCAACACCTAACTGTTGCATTAAATATGTTGGAGCCAATTTGAGCTTTCCTCACACATGTGCACAAACCTGAAAGCAGACCAAGCATGCAGCCCTGTTCATACTGCAACAGGCCCATGCAGACACATTGCCCCTCATGGTGGGCACAGAAAACACATGGGGCAGTTTCAGTAGGATGTAGTAGCTACTTGCAGGCTGGGTGGTAGCACCATGGACGTAGCACAGGATTTCTGGAGACTTTAGAACTTATCAGTGCCTCTGGGCTCCTTCTGTGGAAAGCATGAGGTGTCTACAGTCCACGTTGTCACAAGTGTTGAGCTGCATGTGATCCATGATTCCTTCAGGTGGATAACGAACCCTTACATGGGTTTGGCCTTTATGCAGCCACCTGCCACTATCCAGGACTCTAGCTTTCCTGTCCCCCCATCAGCAAAGTGACGTCTTGTAAAACCAGTGCAGTGCAGCAGTGTTTTGATCTGGCAATGCTTAACCACATTTAACACGAGCATGTAAACGCTAACGTTAGCCAAACACGGCGAACCAATATGGCGTTGTTTACCTGCAAACGCTGGGATCTCGCTTCTAACAGTCTGGAAAGATAACGCAGCTCATGACAGCTACGATTGGATCCCACTCAACTTGTTGGTGCAACATACTGAGCCACAGCTCATGGTGCCAGGGCCACAAATGATCACATTCAGATTGGAGCACAAGCAGTCTTCTTTCTTATTTTTAGACGAGTTGACTGAATTGAAATTTCTTATAAATGGACAAGGAAATTCAACGCTGTTAACATCCCCAGTGCACAGTGGAGACAAGAAAGAGACGCACGAGGAAAATGAGGCAAGACAAGTTCTCAGGTAGAATCAAAACTGTTATTACCTGGTATTCACCTGGAACACCAGTTGGCAGGAACGCCGTAGTTTGTGACGGACTAAACCATCAATCAACAAAAAAAAACACAAACAGATGAACTACATTTCACCTGGTTGTACTGCATTCGACATATCTTCATCGGAGAGATTCAAACACACACACACACACACCTACACACACACCTACACACACACTTGCATACGTGAACAGTAACGGCAGCACAGAGGAAGGTGCTTTGCAGCATGAGAAGTCATGCCTGAGTCACCACATTAACTAATGTGCTCTTATTTAGCCATCAATCCCCTTTAGCTGATGTCAGCTGTTTTTCCACAGCTCAATGGTCATACATAAGCAATGAGAGGCTGTCGATCATTTCACATTATGGCTTATTGAGGAGATGGCTGATGGTGATGGGAATTCAGATGGAGCCGCCTTAATGTTTCCTCTCAGAAGTTTCCTTTGGTTGCCCCTGAACCATCCTCCATGCTGGGAGCTCACCATCGCTGAGGCCGGCAGCACAGCCATCGGACATATTTACATACCGGTTTAATTCTTTTTACTCATATGTTTCAGCCAACAAATGAAAGCTTTGGTCTTTCCATTGACTTGTAAAGCCAAACATGATAAATAGGGTCGTGTCAGTGAAAAGATAGCTTTAAACCAAAGGTAATAAACTAAAATGTATGGCCTCCCCTCGCCAAAGGCCAGGTTATTCCAGCCTAATAGAAATGTAAAAGCTTTCGAATATCTCATTTATCTTTGTTCCGTTCACTTACGCATGTGCACAGTATTGATTTGGAAGTGCTGTCTTTGCAGAATTTCTGTGCATTCTGTAATGAAACACTTAGATTCCTGCACTGTTTCCTGCCTTTCTGTTCCTCCTGTGCCGCCCCCACTGCTTTCAGTTTCTGCTTAATGCTCTTCTGTTTCCATATTGTGGGCTTATTCTCACCCTTCAGCGCTGCACACGCAACCCTTCGCTGTTGCTCTGCTCTGTTTGATCATCTTGTCAGGCTCCTTCTGTCCTTTAAATTCTCCCACACTTGTTCCCAATCTTGGCTTTAAACAACACTGATGACAAGCACAGATTAAACGTTACTGCTTTCTTTCCTCTCCCTCCTCCAGACTTGAACTTCCACTACTTCTGGAAGTGGAGCGCGTTCGAGGACTACCTGCTCTTCTGCTTCGGCTTCACGGTGCTGTGCGCGGTGGTCACCCTGCTCCTGCTCGACTCCGCCGTGTTCGTGGAGACCCTGGGATCCCTGGCCGTGATGTTCGAGGCCATGCTGGGCGTCCCACAGCTGCTGCAAAACTTCGAGAACCGCTCCACCAAAGGCATGAGGTACGTCACGCTCCAAGGTCAAACGGGGCAGAAAGCTGGCGACTCGCACCGGCGCACCCCAAACTGCCGTAAAGGCTCCCAGGGCTTCACAATTGTTCGCTAACACCACATGAAAAGTACTCTCATTAACCTTAATGCCCAAGGAAGTCGAGTAATTTATATTCTCATGAATAAAATATGCTAATAAGGTCATTTATAGTCATTAGAGTCTACATGAAAAAGAAAACACCATGTCAAAGAGTGGATTAATGCAAAGGATGAGCCGCGCACAGTTACATAACAGTTATCAATCTTTTTTTGTTGACATTAGTAAATCAAACAGGCATCAGTGACACCCCAATTTAACTTCGATTGAGACGGATTGACTTTGCATTCAGGCCTTCCTTTCAGACTTAATGTTTAAACTGCCCTAATGGAAGAAAATTAGCTAGAAAAAGGTGGCGATAACACTGTTAAAATTACAATTTATCTGCCCCGTAAAGTCCATCCAAAGACTCAACAAATCCCTCCCAAGAAGTCTTATTGACAGAGTTAATAAATGCTACGTTGCAGGGATTAGACTGCAGCCACTTTAAATTCAAGGTCACCCTGAATCAAGAGTGGGACTAGAGGGTGATGGAGTGAGGCAAACAAAACCCTTAGCTGGCATTATGAATGTTTTCTTCTTTTTTTTTCTGTTCAGATTATGTCAGAGTGTATAAAAGGTCAGTGTGTATACTGATTAGGCTCTCAGGTAGAGGACTGTGAGATCAATTACGCCCCTAATGGCACAGAACCTCTCGCTAATTATGATCATTATTTTCTCATTATGTCTCTTGTCTGTTAGCAGTGCAAAACCTATGCATGCTGCGTGTCTGTCGCCGTGTGTGTGGTGGCTGTGCATACATATTTACACGCTCTGCTGGCCGCTCATCTTTAAGAAACAAATCCAGCAGAGACGAGCTAATATTTCACTTTTCTTCCTAAGAGAAGATCTTTTATTGTCAGTAGGTGTTCAGGAAGGATATACTTCAGACATAAGTTTGCATGAACACTGAGGGAATGCGATGAGAAGAGGCAGGGATACAATTAGGAACTTGCAGTGACGTCGGCTGGAAGTACCAACTCTCCCCGGGATTGAGTTTGTTTTCCGTGTCTGGATTCACAAATCTTTCTCTCACAAATGCACAGTGGCCATGTTTGTGTGCTTCCACTGTTCATTCAATTAATGATCATTCATAATCATTTGGTTCATTCAATGTCAGAAAATGGTTTTTAAAAATGCCCATCCGTATCTCAAAGGCTTACTTAGGTTTACTCTCACAAACACGAGTATGTTTGGGGATGTTTGGCATCGCTTGAACAAGACTAACGTTCTTAAGCCACAAACATGAATTGGTGAGACTTGAGCACAGCAACGCTTTGAACTAAATGCAGGCGCGCTCACAGTGATGTTTAGCAAGTGTGTTTACTATGTTAATCATAGTTTGCATGTCAACGTGTTAGTATTTACTCTTAAACCAAAGTTTATTATTTGAATGTTAAGTTGTCGGCGATGGAAATGTAAAAGTGAAG